CTGCATGATGATATACATGCAGAAATTATGCATAACTTAATAAAGATTCTAAAAAAACATTCAAAGTAAAAATAAATTATACCCTGACTTGTTGTCGTTCTAATTGCAATTGCATTTGTAATTGTTGCAGTTGTGTAGGTGCTGATGTACTCTGTCCACTTCCACCTCCAGTTCTGCGTACTCCCGACAATTGAGATAGCAATTCCGCAATTGGATCTATACCGTCGCGATTACTTGGGCTTAACCCTCCAGATGAACTGAAATGCATGTTGGACCTGCAGGTCCAATGATACTCCAATGAACATTAACTAAGATGAGGTAATGATGATAATAAAATTATGTAACTGATCATAACAATCAAATTTTCATTAAGGCATTCATTACAAAAAATTTACAATTTATTATTGTCAAATGCAATATCTGTAAGATAATCTATCTATAAAAATATAATTATAAAATTAATATAAAAATCCGTTATTTTTATAATATAAAAGATATCTAGTAATATTACTATAACATTCTACAGATAGATAAAATTTAAAAATGACATCATTAATTGTGAGAGATATAATAATTATGAAAAAAATTTTAATTTATTAATATTTATCGTGTAATGTTAATAATTTATTAAATTTAACATTTTTAATAAAAATATTTTATAATATTAAATAATAATAAGAAATAAATCTTAATTATCTAACAAATATCTTATGTACATACCTACGTCCACGCGGTGCTCCAACAGCTCTAGATGGATGTGGTATCCGTCTAACACCATGTCTACTTGCAGTTGGTTCATCCAGAAAGGAAATCAGGTCCCTTGGTCCACTACGATGCTCTAGTGTTAGATGACCAGCAAAATCATCAGTTACATGATTAGGATCGCCACCTGGCACTGCTGCGCATACTGGACAAACCTGTGATAAAAGTATATAAGTTTACATTATACATTTATGTAATAATTATCTCTTCATATACGTACAACTTCAAATGAAGTATCCGGATGATCAGCAGCAACATGTTCTTGTAATGTAGCCTCGGTAAAGCCCATTTTTGTACAATAGGGACAAGTCAAGGATTGAGGTTGTTCTACGCTCACTCCTTCGCCACCATAGTATAATTCTATTGAAAAATTAATCATTTAAGAATGAACAAATATTTAATAACAGTAGCATTTTTAAAAGTTAACATCATTATATATTATATATCATAATAATTTTAAAATATATCCTTTCTTACATATATATTTACAATAAATTAAAGGAAGAATAAATTAGGATAAAAAAATGATTTATCTCATATAACTAAAAGTTTGATTTATAGAAAGTCATTTTTCAGATATTTATAATTATGTATAAGAATTTAACTTTGAGAAATAAGCATTTTCTTATATACATGAAACATATAAAATATTTTCAGAGTTTTTTATATATTCAATATTTTTATAATTGACTGTCAATAATTATCAATAATTATAATGCAAATATATTTTAAATTTGATAATTATTTTACCAAAGTCAGATCTAGTAAGTATGCACTGCATAGGATGATCTGTGAGGTGGCGAGTGGTACTGGCGCCTCCCTCATAGCAGCTGGCACATAGATCATAATCGTAGCATACGAGGCACTTGTATCTACGACCTCGAAAATTTCCCTTCAAGCAGGAATCACAGCTAACACCTAAAACAAAAAGTTTAATTAGATATGCATACACAAATATTTTAAATATTATGTATATATAATAAAAATATGAGACTGATTATAATAATGCTTTAAATATTTGTAATTTATTGTAATTTATTTATAAATATGTTGTTGCATTATTAAAAAATGCATTACATTATTAAAAAATGCATTACATGCTATTTTCAGATTTATTAACAATTAATATTATAAATAATTTAACATGACACACATACATACATACATACACACATACACACATATATTAGTAATATAATAATAATAAAATAAACTTCTAATAATAATGAAATCAAGTTGTAATAAAGTTGTAAACATGTTCATGTAAATTATGATTTAATATATCAAGAATCATAAAAATTCCTTCTCTTTATAAAATTATTTTATAATAATTGAAAAAGGAGTAATATATTAGCAGAATTAATTAATGTCACAAGTGGTTTTAAGATATAAAATAAAATAAAAATATAAAGAAATCTGAAATTTCTCACAAATAATAAATGTAGTACTCAACATATTAAAATCAACTTGCAAATTACAATAATTTAGTTATGCTTTCTATATATGTTTTATATAAAAAATTCTAAATTACATTTTTAAAAAAGAGAATACAATAGAAAGAATGTACATAAAATAGAAAGGATAAAAAATTAATTAGAGAAAGAGAAAATAATGCTTACATTAGTTAATAAAGCTATTTGTAAATCATGACTTTAAAAAATATATATGTATATTTGGATTTTATATAAATTTTTTTAAATACTCAGATTTCTTTATAGTATAACATGTAATACTATGTTAATTGAAATAATATATTTGTATAATGCATTCACCGTTTTTAACAAAGTTTATTCTGCAATTACGCTATGTAAAACAGAGTTAAAAACATATCTTACTTGTCAATAAAGTACCATTACTACTCTATATCAAAAGTCAGATGACTTTATAACTATAAATAGCAATGTGCAGTGAATATGAATCACAGTCTTGCAACAATGGCATGTAAGATTTGGAATATATGTTACTCAAGTATAATAAACACAAAGGAAAAACTGATCGATATTTTATAAAAAAAACTTATTGCATACATTTATATCAATCAATTAAAGGATAAAATCTATAATATAATAATATGCAGTATTTGGTAACAATAAAGTATCATATCTGAAATTCACGACATGAACTAGAATTTTTAAGTGGCACTTCAGTTTGATCTATCATCTTTATATCAGACATGATAATTATATAACATATCTTGTCACTTCAAAAAAATTTTATTCAAAAAACACAAATTCGCTCATATTGTGTATACTATTAAACACGTGCAGAATGAGATTTGACTTATTAAAATCTCAAAGGCCAGAGGCTCAAGAGCAACGTGACTGGTAACATTATTTTTATGACATACATTAAACAGCGAGACTATGATCTCGACAAGACACCGGATGAAAGAATCGCGCGAGAGTACAGGTGACTATATAATATTTTCATTAACGATTTACGCAATTAAAACAGTTTATGCAAAAAAATCGCGAGAACGTTGCAAAAAAGCTGCAATATGTTTTACAAGAAGAGAAGAGTCATCACTATCAGGGAAAAATGAGTCAAGAGACCGTTCGGAAAGGGGAGTCAGCTGAGAAGATACGACGGTCTGACAGCTGCTCGGCCGTGCTGGTTGATGACCGGACAACAGGCCGTAGCGAGGGAAAACCGGATATCATCACGGATCCCCGGGGATCACTCGGAAAAACGTTGCAAATCCGCAGAAATTGACGTGAATTTTCACCGTGTGCTGCCATCTGGCCTCTGACATTAGGCCCCTTCGAGCACGGGAGCTCCCGGGATATGTCCCGTGTGAAAAAGGACGTTCCCGTGGCTCGACGGTGCCGTGGACGCCGCCGCGGGCCACCGCGGACTCTCGACGAATGTTCCCGCGTGCTCGACGTGGCCCAGAAACCGCTCGCCGCGACGGCGGACCCGCGTAATTTCCGCGCGATCGTCCGTCCCGCGGGCTCCGACTTGCTCGGAGCACAGGCGCACGTACGTACCTTCATGTCGACTCATTTTCCGTTTAAAATCTCATATACGCCGAAGTACGCGAGTCTTCCGCGATCGTACGCTTAACGAGATGCGATCACCGGCCGTCGTTGCGTGGACACCACGGCGTCGCTCGATTACGGGTCGACACGACACAGGGAAAACATCAATCGTCAAACAAAAAATTTGTCGTTAGAATCTCCAGCGTAAAACCTAACCCAACTAGGCTGACGAACCTGACGTCACGCTAGACCAACCCATCGAGTCTTCCGGCGGACATTGCTTGCCACCGGCGCCGTCTACCGTTCGTTGTGGTGGGCTGTCGCGCGATGACGTAACGTTATCGCGGAATTGCGGCGATTCGATATCGTGTTCGCGGGAAATACGACCACAGCTCATGTGATCATTCCGCCACGTTGAAGCCCTGCGCATAATGGAAAAAATAGAAATTAGGAACAAGAAGAAATATTAAATTTTGGAAATAAAAATCAGAAATAAAGATTAAATATAACGCAAAATAAACACAAATAAATTATATTTAATAAAAATTTAATATTTAATTTATTCTTGTTTTTAATATTTCTTATATTGTGTTCAAAGTCTTTATTGGAAATCCGAGAACGAAGAAAGAAATAATAAATGCTTTAAATAAGCTTACGATTATTCTATGGATGCGCTCATAGTATATTCAAGATAGTATATTCAAGATTTTTTCAGGAGGAGGATTTTTATCAATCCTGTTAAACATTTTTTGCGTTAACAAATTGTTTCTTTGGTTATTTTATAGTTTAGAATATCTCCTCGTTCTTGATTTTGAATGAAAAATATTAGATTTTGTAAATCATAACTTTAACCTTTTTCTTTAAGTTTCAGAGGAGTTGAACCCTGCAACTCCCCTCCACTCCTCCTATCACTTGAGAGGATCACATTTTCTTTTACTTTCGTAATCATTAAAAGAGTTCGAGGAATCCGGGAAGTAATTGAAGAGTGTTGATGTTATCGATATAAATTATCGATATAAATTTGCGATTGTTAATATAAATATTTGAATGTGTTATTAAAATAATTTTTTTATTATACAAATGTTTTATACATAAATATGCATACTTAAAATGCTATAATAATTTGCGATACATCACGTAACAAAGTAACACGGATAGCCATCTACCAATATATATATAACTTATGGCAAGAGATTTGTTCCTCTCGCGAGATTTTCCGAAAGTCGCTTCGCGCATGCTCGTATTGTTCCGTCGACGATCGTAGAATTCCGGGTTCCGGGTCGGGATCTTGCGATACTCGCAAAATCGTATCACTTATCGAGCAATGGCAGCGGTACTTGGACGTGTTATTGTGTACGGGGGTAAAGGTGCCCTCGGCACGGCTTGCGTATCGCAATTCAAATCGCAAAATTGGGTGAGTAAGCGGGACTTCGGAATGCCGTTACCCTCGCGTTTGATATAATCCGAATTCGATTAATCGCGCGGTCATCTTATCGGTAGACCTTATCGGCAGTATGTTGCACAAAATTTCTCAATCTATGCTCCGATATTATGAATATTATTAAATAATTTTGTTAAGTCGAGAAGGACATATACGAATGTATATACGTACATTTAAAAAAAATAATATTAATAAATAATATTAACGATTCAAATAATATTACATTATTAAATGATGGAATAACTACGCAAAAATCTGAATTTTATTATTGAATTATCGGTGACTTTTACCCGACCGTATCATAAATCGTAAATATTTTCACACCTTTTTGTATCTTTTCTGCTTTTGATATTCTCATAAAATAAAAAGCATATTTTCGCTGTGCGATATGTAATTTATATAAAGTTTATTTGAGCTTGTATTGAACGGCATATGGGAGTGCCATTGTGATTCTATTAAAGTGACTGTCAACTATTTCCTTCCTGATTTTCCCGGAAAGGAAACTTCAATCTGTGACGACTTTTATATTTCGCCGAATAATTCGAGATTGTACGCAATGTGTATAGTTTTATATTATTTATTTAATTTTTTTGCTGATAAATATCTGTTATGCAATATATAATTATAATAAATAATAAAGTACTGCATAATATATATTAATAATATTCATAATAATGATTAATTATTTAGAGCCTTTGCTTTAATTAACGTTAATTAAAAATTCTTTTATGTAAATTTTTTCTTTTATATATATATATAAATATTTATAGAGATGTTATCTGAAGGATGTTGCATAAAAATTATGTATACCAAGGTTACTGGTAGTCAAGCAAGTCCTTTCACAGAATCTCCTTGTAGAAGCAATTTATTTACGCTGCATGCATTATAAAATGCAATGCAATATAAAATTATGCCTGCAATATAAAATTATTTAGATTAAATTATATATATATTAATTAGATAAATAATTCTATATTAAATTCTAGATTAAATTATATATTTTTCAAAAATTATAAATATATCTATTATATCCTAATTATCATGTTATATAAATTTATGTTATTGTTTATATATAAAATTATCAAATATTTTTATGTTTGTTGATTTTAAGTATTACATTGTATTTTATAAATTAGAGATATTTATTGATTTCGTACCTTTCAACCTTGAAAAAATTTATAAAAATTATTTAATATTCAGTATTTATATTGAAACCGTGTAATAATCGTGTAAGTTTGTATTTTATATTTAATTTAAAATTATATTTTTATTTGTGCACAGTATATATGTCATATTATAATTTTTAGTGGGTTGGCTCTATTGATATGAAACCAAATGAACAAGCAGATGCAAATATAATCGTAAATCTAGACAATAATTGGCAACAACAGGTAATTTGTTATTGTTTACATTTTTATTTAAATATCCAAGCAATGAACATTAATTAATTACTTTTTGTACAGCAAACGGAGATTCTGACTCAAATTAAAGATACATTGAAAGATGAAAAAGTTGATGGTATTATTTGCGTAGCTGGGGGATGGGCTGGAGGTAATGCGGCTCATAAAGATTTTGTGAAAAATAGTGATTTAATGTGGAAACAAAGTGTTTGGAGTTCCGTTATAGCTGCTAGCATTGCAGCTGAATATTTGAAAGAGGGAGGATTCCTTTCTTTGACTGGCGCTAAGGCGGCATTAGCAGAAACTCCAGGTTTTTTGTGATAATACAAGATGTATAACATGTACAAGATGTGTGAGATATATTTTTCCCTGTTTGCTAATAAGTCAACTCTATTCTTTTAGGCATGATTGGCTACGGTATGGCAAAGGCAGCGATTCATCAATTGACGAAATCCTTGGCAGCTAAAGATAGCGGTCTTCCTTTCAACAGCTTGGTAGCTTGCATACTACCAGTTACCTTAGATACGCCAATGAACAGGAAATGGATGCCTAAAGCCGATACAAGCACGTGGACTCCGCTTGAATTTATAGCAAAGTAAGATAACATGTTTATGTTTATCAATTATTGTAATATCTTAGTTTCTATTATTAAAAAAAATTGTCTTTGTCTAGCTTGTTCTGGAAATGGTCCCAAAATCAAGATCGACCTGCTAATGGTTCTCTTCTGCAACTTATTACAAAGGATAATAAAACGGAACTGATTGCTGATTAAAAACATCAAACAAATAAAACTTATGGGAACAAAAATCTTTGAGCATTTATGACAATATCATAGTATATAATATCATTTTTGTTGTTACATAAAAGATATAGAGACTGCATTCGATAAGTTATTATTAGCGCTATCACATCATTCTATACCGCGCATTAGATGCAAATCAAGGATAGAATGCTGCGAAAGCGTTAATAGCGCGTTCTCCGAACGCAGCCAGAAAGATATGTTTTGAATCTCTTAAAACAATTCTTATTTTTGTATAAAAATTAATATGTTTTTAACATATACTGGTGTTCATTCCGATATATATTTTTGTATACATAAATTGTTTAAAAAAAGATAATTTTATTATATAAGTATATATACATATGTTGATATATCTGTTTGGTATGAATGTAAAATATATATACATATATACTATGTTACAAAATGAATATTGTGAAAACGAAAAAAAGAAAAATCATTTAATGCATCATGAATTGAATTTCTATTGTGTAGATTTATTTTCCTAATTCAGTTTCATACATATCAAA